TGAACTTTGAGGATATTTCTGAGTGTTTTTCTAGGCCTTGATATCTGTGGTTTAATCCTATTATCATATCCTGCTTCCCAGGTGATGGGGCTAATGACTCCTAGAGTTTGGGTGGGGCATGCAGATTTTCTCTTTGTCTTCTTGATTGCTCTGGCTTCAACTTTCTGATAGTTTTACATCTGCATTTGTATGGGGCTAGGTCTTGCTTGGGGCAGAGAGATTTGGAGCCAAAGTTGGTTTCTGCTTTTTAAAATACTTTTGAGGAAATATATATTTCTGCCCTTTTAATATTTCCTTCTCTGGGGCTCTGACTTCCCACAGTATCTAGCAGAAATGTCCTGCCTAGAGCCCTGAAGAGGTGAGGAATCTGCATACAGAGGAGAAACTACAAATACTTGTTTCTTGTAGAGCATCTCATTTTGAGGAGCAGATACAGTGAACATTGCATGCATTATAATTGTGGAAAGCAAATGTGCTGACATTTATGTGCTGACATTGTTCTCTATGATTGGAAAACTGCGATTACAAACACTATTTAAAAGCAACTTCTGCAGCTATATTTTATGGAAGAAGGCCAAAAGATGGCCAAAATGCTTTATATAGAAATGCCATTTCCCAACCCTTTTTCACCTTGTATTTCTACATTTTTTCACGTATCAACTATTCATAAAATAACTTTATTAAAAAGTTTTGAAGCTTTACTTGAAATCATAAGCTGGTCCTACTATATTACACTGGAAAGAAATACAAATAAAAACAACTGAACACACCATTTTATCTTTAAATGTTCTGTGTAATGCGACTCTTAATCTTTCCCTTTCTGCCCCTTTTTCTAACTACGCTAATTTGAAAACAAAGGCCAGATTGTTTAAAGTCATCTCTGCCTAGCTGAATAAAACAATTAGAAATTATAGAGTCAAAGAAGGCTGGGGAAAAAAGAGGGAAAAATATTGGTTCCATGAATTTCAGAGTTGCTCCTAATCATTGCAGGGCTGAATACAACTTCTACATTTTTCTGATAATTCTGATTTTTTTATGAACACAAACACATTCAGTGTGGTATTTCAAGAACCGGTAGCTAATTTTTTGTTGCCCAGCCCCAGAATAGACTTCCGGAAGCGGCATCCACACAGAGAACCAGTTATTCACATATTTGAATCCCACCACTGGGCTGGCTGTTTGGAAAGGTTTAATGATGAGCAGAACCTGCAACACCATGCAGTTCTGGGACAGCTGACCCAATGGAGTTGAGAGTGGATGGATCTTTATAGGGCTCTGAGACTTTGAAATGGAAATGTTTCTGGGTTGTGCAATGAGGTGGGCTTTTGTGTCTTTTGCTAGAATAAAGAGGGTGTAGGATTAATCCTATTATGTTCTAAAGGTCATGTGCTTTAGATTTTGGGTGGGGGAATGTAAATTCTTAATCCCATCAGCTGTGGAGGCTGAAGGCGTTTTGCTTATGAATGGTGTGCCCCAAATCTGCATTTCTAAAAACTGGCCTGCTCAGTTTCTGCTTGTGGAAACTTGGGCTGTTTCTGCCTCCTCTAAGTTTTTTTTTATTTCTCCTTTAGGGGAAATATAATAATATTCTGCCTCTTTTAATATCCCCCAAAACATTTCATTCTCTGGCAGGGGGGTGCTGATTTTCTACACAGGAATGTATCTTTTTATACAAAGGTGAAGCAATTCTGTTAGTCATAATAAACTGGTAAGTTTACATTTGATTTTCTGAGACATGCATGGATAGCAGGACATAGTTTAGTAAATTAAGTTGAAGCAAAAGAAAGATGACATAAATGAAAGAGACCAATTTAGGCAATTTAATATTTCTCATATAATCAACTTGACTAGGACATCCAACTTCTGTTTAGCCACATACACCTTGCACTTTCTTCCCAGTTCACAATAAAATGGAATTGCAAGTTCTTACACACTTTAGTTATATCTAACATATTTTGTTTTTGTAAACAAAATTAGTTCCAGCAAAACCTTTTAGAAACAATTTAATTGCATTAGAATATATTATCTGATCAGATAAAAATGGGACTTCTCAGAAGAGTCAACAGTTAAAACTAGGAATGTATGAATCCTTGAAGTGTTTTTTGCTTTGATCAAAACCATTACTGACTTTGGCTGTTTTGCAAAGTATTCAGGGATCTGTAGTTCCAAAGGTTCAGCTCAGCCAAGCTGCCATGCCATTTGAGAGCTTTTAATGGTCACTTTTGCTGAATCTTCTAGTGAAGCAAAGTAGTGGGTGAAGTGAACTGGTCCAACTTGAAAGTTTGATTAGAGGCAAATTGAACATCTTGGGGTTTTTTTGAATTACAACCATAATACTGACTACTGTAAATTGTTTAAGAAATAAGCTACAGTAGCACCATTCACATGTTTATCATCAGAAACAGTGAAAAAAAAGGAAACATATTTAAAACCAGTTTCTTTCCACAAAGATAATTGTTTAATTTCTTTGGTGAAGTGGCAGCTATCTTCCACTGACTGAATATATTAATATTCAATTTTCCAGTGAGTTGGCTGTTCACAGGTTTTCTCATCATCTCCACAAAATCTGTTGTAAGTTGTTTTGGGGTCAAAACCCAGAATTTCTCTTTCCTCTTGAATGCGGAAAGAAAAAGTTGAGACGGAGGTTCCTATAAAATAACTGTGAAGAGAAAATATCAGTGGGTAAAAAAACATATTCCTAAAAATTTTGCTATCAGTTTTCTATAATCCACTATTTATTTATTTATAAAATTTATTGGCCACCCATTTTACCTCAGGATCTCCATTAATGCTATGGGGATAATAAAATCATTCAGTTTTGCTAAATCAAATACATATATACATGTATTAGATTTAACCACACATCCATCAATACAAAATAACGTGATCATGGTAATAATAATAATAAAAAAGCAAATAGACCAATCCTAATGAATCAAACTACTAGAACCAAGAGTATCAATTCCTACTTCAAATGCTCTCTGAAAAATCTCATTTTAAATAGCCTATGGAAAACTGATAGTGTAGAAACAAGCAAACACAAGTACAAGGGTTACTATGTATCAGCTAGCACCCAGACCACCACATTCTGGACTGCTTCTGGGTAGTCTTCAAATGTGTATCTGTAGTCTTATATACAACACACTATAAAACTCAAGGAATAAGGTAAGGGAGTCTCTGTGGATTTCACTCTGCTAGTCGTTGCCAACTCTAAGGGGGTGATGCTCATCTCTGTTTCAAGGCCATTGAGCCAGTGCTCTCCTAAGACTTTTCTGTGGTCATGTCGCCACCATGATGTCATGGAGAGCTGTTATCTTTCTACTGAAGTGGTACCTGTTTATCTAATATATTTGCAAGGATGGCAGGACCTGGAGCAAGATTGTGTGTGTGTGTGTGTGTGTGTGTGTGTGTGTGTGTGAGAGAGAGAGAGAGAGAGAGAGAGAGAGAGAGAGAGAGAGAGTTACCTGGCATGTGCACAAATCCATTGGTCAATAATTGCTATTCCTCCATCTTTGTAGAGCTCCATTTCCTCCCAAGTAGGTTCAAATCTCACCATCTCTGGAAGAAGTACTTTTAATTCTTCAATCTCTGGAAAAATACACTCAATCAACATTCTTCAAGTGGCAAATTTCATCCTAACCCAACTTATATTAAAACAAAACCATCTTTTTTGCCTAAGGATTTTAATAAAAGGATTAAGGATTTTAATAAAAGGAATAGAATAGAATAGAATAGAATAGAAGCTGGAAGGGACCTTGGAGGTCTTCTAGTCCAGCCCCCTGCTCGAGCAGAAGAACCTATACCATCTCAGACAAGTGACTATCCAGTCTCTTCTTAAAAATTTTCAGTGATGGAGCGCCCATGATTTCTGAAGGCAAGCTGTTCCACCGGTTAATTGTCCTCACTGTTAGGAAGTTTCTCCTTAATTCCAGAAACTTTGATCAGTTTCTAACTATTGTTTCTTGTCTTGCCCTCTGGTGCTTTGGAGAATAGTTTGACCCCCTCCTCTTTGTGGCAGCCCCTCAAATACTAGAATATTGCCATCATGTCACCCCTATTTCTTCTTTTCTTTAGACTAGCCAAACCCAAGTCCTGTAGCCATTCTTCATGTTTTAGTCTCCAGGCCTTTGATCATTTTAGTTGCGCTTCTCTGAACTTTTTCCAAGGTTTCAACATCTTTCTTGTAGTGTGGTGACCAAAATTGGTTGCAGTGTTCCAGGTGTGGTCTTACTAGGGTTTTATAAAGCGGTACTAATACTTCGCGTGATCTTGATTCTATGCCTCTGTTCATACAACCCAGGAGTGTATTAGCTTTTTTGACTGCTGCTGCACACTGCTGGCTCATAGTCAAGTGATCGTCAACTAGGATTCCAAGGTCCCTCTCACAGTTGCTGTTTTTGGGCCAGGTCTTGCCTAATCTGTACTTAAACTTCGATTTTTCCTGCCTAAATGTAAAACATTGCTTTTTTCCACATTAAAACTCATTTTGTTGGATAGGACCCATTGTTCAAGTTTGCCAAGATCTTTTTGGATCCTGAGCTTGTCTCCTGGGGTGTTGACTATTCCTGCCAGTTTGGTGTCATCTGCAAATTTGATGAGTTCCCCTTCTATTCCCTCATCTAAGTCATTAATTAAGATATTGAAAAGTACTGGGCCTAAGATGGAGCCTTGTGGTACCCCACTGCTTACTTCTCTCCATGTGGATGTAGTACCATTGAGGACTACTTGCTGAGTACGGTTTGTCAGCCAGCTACAGATCTGATGGTGTTGTTGTCTATCCCACTATTTTCTAGCTTACTAAGCATCAGGTTGTAATCTACTTTGTCAAATGCCTTACTGAAGTCTAAGTATACTACGTCCACAGCGTTTCGCTGGTCTACTAATTTAGTCGCTTTATCAAAGAATGAAATAAGATTGGTTTGGCATGATCTGTTTTTGACAAACCCATGCTGGCTACTGGTTATAACTTTGTTTGCTTCTAGTTATTCACAGATCTGTTTTTTGATTATCTTTTCCAAGATCTTCCCAGGTATTGATGTTAGATTGATTGGTCTGTAGTTTCCTGGGTCTGTTTTTCCCCTTTCTTGAAGATGGGAACCATATCAGCCCTTTTTCAATCATCAGGTACTTCCCCGGTGTTCCAGGATTTTTGAAAGATATGGTACAATGGTTCTGAGATAACATCTGCCAGCTTCTTCAGAACTCTGGGATGTAATCTGTCGGGTCCCGGTGATTTATATTTGTCAAGTTCAGATGGGTGTTCTCTTACCATTTTCTTGCTTATTTTAATTTTTGTTTCTAGTTTATCTTTTGCAGTAGGTTTTTTGGTATGTTGGGCTATAATTTTTGTGTGAAGACTGATGCAAATAATGAGTTAAGCAGTTCTGCTTTCTCCCTGTTGCCTGTTACTGCCTTGCCATCTTCTCTCTTTAGTGGACTGTTGGGATTTTTATGGTTCAGGCTTCTATAGCAAGACTAGGCCAATGGCCAGCTTGTGTACTAAAAGCCCAGGACAAAAGAAAGCAACCATCTGCAGTAAGTAGGGCAAACCACATCCTCTGACAGAAACAATGGTTAAGCTAGCATAGCAACGGGGCAAGTAGATGAACCAAAGAACAATAAATAAGCTTGCACCTGNTATTTGACTGCACATGTAACCAATTATGTAACAAGCATGGACTTCCTCATAGAAGCTGCAAATAAAAGAGGAACTCAGAACACCCCCTGGGTCACTCACCTCGAGGAAATTCCTGCGTGTGTCTTCCTTTCTGGCTTGTCGTTGCTTGCCAAGACTCATGGGTGGCCCACCTTAATTGTGGCAAACCACAAAAGCCACAAATGGTGACCCCGACGTGATATCTGCGGAAGTTGTTGCTTACCCAGAAATACGTCTCGGACCCCCCTTACCCATTCGCCTGAGGGAGGCTGTACATTCGTCCCGTCTGAAACACGGCTGGATAATCGTGAGTAATGGGGGGAAGGCTCTCTCAACAACAGGTCGAGCACCTAAGAGAACTGAAGGAGCTAACCAAATCCTCTAAAAGATTTGCTTCTAGTGGGGGTAAATCACTCCCTCGAGTGAAAAGCAATGATTTAATTGGCCTTCTGTCATACATCTGGAAACATCATCCAAATTACGCAGAAAAGGGGAGTTTTAAATTGAGCACATGGACAAATTAGGAGAATGTCTCCATTCGGCTCCTAGAGCCCCAATTCATGTTTTGACTACATGGCGTGCAGTCATAGAATGTCTGACAATCCATCATAGATTTGATAAGCCAATGTCAAATGATTCTGCGCCTCCCCCGTATGAATCCACAAAACAGGAACAAGCAAATTTGTATCCTGTCTTGCAGAGTTCTGATAAAGTCTCTGCTCCAAGCGCACCCAGTGATCCGGCTACAGCTGGAGGAGGTGTCATAAGAGCTTTGATAGAAGCACGAAAGAAAGGGGAACTTGACAGTGATGAATTAGAGGCTTGTGCCGCGTTTCCTGTCACTTTTGTTGTGCCACCGGGCGCAGCAGCTGGAGCGCCAGCTAATCCTGTGTATGCTCCTTTGTCTATGAAACTTATAAGGGAAGTGAAACTTGCTGTCTCTACATATGGTCTACAAGCTCGCTACACGCAGGGACTTTTGGCTTCCTTTACTTCTGCTGTCACTGAAATGCTTTTAGCAGACTGGCAGGCTTTGTTTAACATGATACTAACCCCTGCGCAATATGTGATTTGGTGGTCAGAATATCAGAAGCAGGCAAAAATCGCTATAGCTGCAGGATTACCCGCCAATGTGACCAAGGATCATATTCTGGGCACTGGCACCCTTAATACAGTGGCAACTCAACTCGCATCTGATAGGGCAGCTTTTGGAGTTATTAGCCAGTGTGCCTTAGGTGCCATAAAAAAGGTGGATGATTCTTCTAAAACCCAGACTCAAACATTTTCAAAAATCATCCAACAGGCAACGGAAAATTATGCAGATTTTGTCAGTCGCCTCCAATTGACACTAGAAAGGCAGATTGACAATGAGGCAGCTCGTGAGGAATTATTGTTAAAATTAGCTTATGAGAATGCAAATCAGGACTGCAAGAAAATCCTGCAGCCAATAGCCAATCGCCCTGATGCTACACTTGCTGACTTTCTTCAAGCTTGCCGCATAGTGGGAACAACCAATTACAAAATGGAGGCTTTGGCAGCCGCCCTGCAAAACAACAACCTGTTTCCTGCTTCTTCTTCCTTTCTGCCTATGCCCCACCCAACAGGAAATTGCTTTGACTTTCACAAAATGGAGGCTTTGCAAAACAACAACCCATTTCCTTCTTCTTCTTCCTTTTCTTCACCCATGCCCCGCCCAGCCGGAAATTGCTTCAATTGTGGTAAACCCGGCCATTTTAAGTCACAATGCCGTGCCCCTGGGGGCGGAGCTTACAAAGGACAGTTCAATCAGTCAGCCAAACCAAAGACAGTTTGCCCAAAATGCAAAAAGGGGTTTCATTGGTCTAACCAGTGCCCCTCTTTCCCCCGCATCCCCCAAGCCCCACTGAAACATCAATGGAGCAATTCGGGAAACTAGTTTTGGGGCATTCGGCTAGCCCCTTCCAAAAGGTCGAAGAAATGGATGACCAAATGGACCAAGTCCTCTCTCATTCTTTTGAAATGGTAGCAGATGAAACTGTTACCTATACTTTACCTGCTCATGCCTATCATCTCTTTATTTCACCACGACTCAAACTTAATTTGCCTCCAACTTTACCTGTTTTAATTTTTCCCAATCTTGACCTAACATCTCAAGGAGTAATGGCCGCTCCCTTTCTGCGTTCCTCTTCATCTTTTTCGGATCTTGCTTTAACTATCATGATTAATTCTCCAATAACAATTACCAGAGGAGATGTGGTTGCTACAATGATTATTTTGGAAACTGTTTCTGATACGCTGGCACTTGAACAGCCTGTCCATGGCAGCTGCCCGATAGCAGAGTTTAAACTCAATGGGCGCCTTTTTTCTGGTCTTTTAGACACTGGTGCAGACGTCTCAGTCATTCGGTCCGCAGAATAACCCCCCCAATGGCCCACTGACGCCTCCCCTTCTGTCAGAGGTGTGGGCGGGACCCAAACGGATCGCGTAAGCACAAACTGGATTGCTGTCACATCTAACTCCAGCACTGTTACTGCTTTTGTGAAACTTGTGATCCTGCCTTTGCACATTAACCTGTGGGGACGGGATTTGATGTCCCAGTTCCAAGCTAAGCTTTCTTTGCAATGAATCCTTCTTCTTTTGTCCTGCGTTTAGAACTAAAGCACCAGACACCTGTCTGGGTAGACCAGTGGCCACTGCCCATTGAAAAATTAGCAGCTTTAAAAGCATTGATTAAAGAACAATTGGAAAAAGGACATATAGAGCCATCACTGAGTGCTTACAACACCCCAGTATTTGTGATAAAGAAAAAAATCAGGCAAATGGCGCCTCCTTCAGGATCTAAGGAAAATCAATTCCATTATTCATCCCATGGAGGCGCTGCAGTGCGGGCTCCCAAACCCAAATTTGATTCCTCAAAACTACGACATGATGATAATTGACTTAAAAGATTGTT